CCTCATGCTTCAGGCTTCTGCGTAAGCGCTTCTTCCACTCGCCGCTGCGCGCTTTCATCACGTTGGCCGGGAGCTCGCCCTGCTTGAGATCGACTTGCCCCCCCCCATCGTCGCGGGCCCGCACTCGGGCATGTGTGAGACACGATTCCCAAGAGGTGTTCGTAGTACTCGGCTGACTTGAGGACGCACGTTGCCCCGTAGCCGCTGTCTCTTCAGATTGTCGGGCAGGCCACTCAATCCTCTCCCATCAAGGTGTCGCAGTTCAGCAAGGCGTCTATAGATGTTCTCAAGTTTGCGAAAACCAATCGTTGTAGGACCCACTGGTGCACCCTTGCGCACGTCTGCTGCAACATCCTCCTCGGTCAACTTTGGTGGCGCGCTCCTCCCGTGATACCCGTGGCCAAAGGGCCCAGCAATCACCAATCTTTTGTCAAAATAAACTTCTGCTATTTTGCCAGCAGCCTTCCATGCCAGGTCAGCGCCAGACCGTTCAATGGCATACTGAGAAGCATAACCACGAGTGTATGTTGCGATGCTTCCCATCTCGTGCTCCTCGCCCTCGGTGATCTTGGGCGCGGCAGAAGTAGGGCAAGGGAGCGAGACTCTGACTTGTTGGCGAGTCTCCTGAAGAACATGTCATCTTGAGCTCGAGTTGCATCCCTAGGTGTTGCTTCGCCCCCGGGTCTCTCCTCAGCTCGAAAGATGCAAGCATACCTTTGGCCGGGGCACCGACGGTGATCACGTCGGGTCTCGTTGCCGAATGTCCAGGGGGGATGCGGTCCCAGTTCGGATCATGACAGAATGTCGGCCCCGAGCCGTAGATGGCACCTACGTCATGCCACTTGCCAGTGTGAAAATAGCGCTCAATAAATTATTATGAATGATCGCGGTGCTGGCGCCCATGCAAATGACGCTCGTCTGTTCGCCCAAAGCAGCGCAGTCCTCGAACGCAGGGTCCAGCATGCGTGCATTTCGCGCGCGGCACAACTGGGGGCCGCCAGCGTCATCGTAGAGGTTGAGAACACGGAGGGGCTTGTCACCAAAGCGGAGAGCAGTTCTCATTCACCGAGAGGTAGCATGTAGCTCGCGAGCAGCTCCCCATGCACGTCCAGCCTCCAATCCAATAGCACGTCCAGATCTTACCAGGGTGGCAACACCGCCCTGCGCATACCTGTTCATTTTCCCATCCCAGTCCTTCAGCGGAAGAACCGGAGGGCCAAGGAACATATCAAGACCGCATTGCCTTGCTGCCTTGCCTGCTGAGAAATGCCCTGTTGCATCAAGACGAATCTCTTGCAAGCAGATGACGTCAGCTCTGACGCTGCCCAGCCCGTCTTCGAAGCTGGCCCGCGCAGCGACGCTCGCACTAGGGATGGCGGCGAGGGTGGCCATCGATATAATTCCGAGCCCACTGTCATATCATCAGCCTCACTTTCTCCCAGGCGCTTGGCGGCCTGTCGAAGTGGGGCATGCTGCGATTAGGTGGCAGCGCGCCGACTGAGGGTGGACGAGCATAGAGCTAGGCCATCACTCTGCGCATCCATCTTCGTCGTCAAAGCCGCCGTGCGTGCGCCGATCGCCTGCGCGACGACGTCGCTGAGGAACTGCTTGAAGTCTGGGCTGAGAGAACTCCCTTCAGTCGCAGTTGGCGGGCCCGCCGGCACGGCTCGCCCTCCGGGTCGCTGCAGCGGCGAAGCCTTCGCTGGTGCGGGGGGGGGGGGGGGGAAGTCTGGCTGCAATCGGTGATCTCATCTGTGCTCGCGGCGCTGGCGTCGTCTGCGCCGTCGGCGCGCGCTCGCGGAGCGTCTCCGCCCGAGCGGGCCCCGAGGGCGCGGCCTTCGGCCGCGGGGGCAACCGGTTGTTAATGGTCGCCTGGGCACCGCCAACACAAATATCAATGACACTTGGGGCTTCTTGAGCTCTGAGCAACAACGTCGGTTTTGCCTTTGCTCCTTTGCCAATCTTTTTCAGCTCGATCCGTTCAGCTCCCCATCCAACTTGACGCTTGAGCGCCTCGCAGAGGCCTGTCCCGTCGATATTCGCAGGCAGGGGTGGGGGGGGGGGCCAAACCGCCGGCATCGCCGGGCCTCGTTCTGAAGCTTCGCCCCGGCATCCTTCGCATGAGTCTCGAGGACTCTGATGAAGAGCTTGGCGCAAATGCTCTTGCATGAGATGCCCTGGCTGCCCTTGAGATCCTTCGTCGTCTCCAGAGCATCCGTCATCGTTGTTCCATTCTGGACCGGGATGAACTCCCCATCTCCGTCTCGTCCTCCAAAACTGCCGCATCACCAACTCTCGCTCTCTGGAAATATGTGCTATCCATACCAACTATTGCCCCGGGGCGCGTAGCGACTGACTGTGCAACTTCGAAGAGGCCTCTGATAACCCTCTGGCCGATCACCTCCTCGTTGAAAACTCCCCCACTCCACGCTGCGCCCCCCTGAGTACAGTGCCTCGAAATTCTCGCTCTGGCGATGGCGGACAGCTCGGCGTCTAGGACTCTCCAGGGCGGGATCGTCTAGAAGCGTTTGTTCCACCACTGCTTTCCTGTCTCTAGCTCTGCGGGCTCGGCCGCGAAGTTTGAAGAGGTCGCGGAAGATCGTGTCATTCGCGGCCGTCTCCAAGATAGTGATATTCATGGGAGTGGGGACCTGCTCGCCCCCTCACTCGATGACCGCTGGCTTGCTTTTGGGAGCGACAGTCGCTTGGTTGGCCCCTCCGCACGTCCAGGTGAAAAGTTGTTTGGTCACACTCCCCCCGCCAATGGAGAATGGTACATTTGTCCGCGCCATATGCTGAGCCAGGTCCCTGCGGCCTGCTAGCACGATGAGGTCCTTTGGGACCTGCTGGGGGTTCTCGGCGAGGATCACCCCGAAAGGGCGTCAACGGCTTGGGGCCAGCCCACCAGGCGTCATCCTGTAGCCTAGCAGCCAGTTCCGTCGCCGTGACGAGGTAGACCTCGTCGTGCGCCGCCGTTGTCGGAAGGGGGCCTCTCCCGACATCGAGGGCCCAGTCGGTGGGGCCCAACGTGGCCGTGTCCTCCTATGTTGGCGTCGGCGTGGTAACCTTCTTTGCATGGGTTTCTTTCTCTTTATTTCGTTATTTGGTGCCATCTCCTGGCTTATTCCTCGAATGACGAGGTGCAGCTGCTTGGCGCATGGGTTGTTGTTTCATCCATTTCTTGATCACGTCGGTGATCTCCTGAAACGGTAGCTTCGCAACGTCAGTCATGTTCGCCGTGGACATCCGTCGGAGGTGGTCGTGCACCGCCCGTGGCTTGTCCATGCCGTCGAACTCAAGGGCCGCCATCGCCCTAGCCTGTATCTGGGCTGGGGTCGCGATCTTGGCCGCTAGTGGGCTACCCTGCTGTGCCAGCAAGACCTAATGTGGCTTCCTGGTGAGCTGGAGTCCATGCTTCTGAACTCCATTCCCATGCAGCGCGTGTTGGAGGCGGTTCCAGTCTTTGTGCCGGACCAGCCATCGATCAAACATGTGAGACCATATCGTGCGTAGTCAAAGCCACAGCCCGCAGCACGTACTTGTCGCACCCCATGATTGATAGTCATACCCATCCCACTGATAGATCAAGAAGTATTGTACTGGGAGTCGGCAACTTCACTATCCCAGTTGAAGAGTATTTGGCCATTTGAGACTTCTTCGCGTCGTACTCATACGATGCCACCACGACCGAGCCCTAGCACAAGGGCAAAAAGGTAAATCTCGGACGCCAGTTGCAGCGTCTCGTGGCCGTACCAGCTCGGACATGATTGCGATACTCTGCCCAATCGTCGTTCGACCTCCTCCCGAACTATCGCTCTGCGTGCCCAGGGGGAGAAAGCGTTATTTTCTGCCAAGTGCGAGAGGCCTCTCGAGCTGTATCGAGCCAGTACAGCGTCAGAAACATAGATCTGCAATGCTGTTGCCTGCTACTGCACATGCTTGCATGCTGGAACGGGGTGGGGTCGGGAAAGAACAACAGACACAAAATACTGAAATCTGTCTCCAAAACACATTGTATGGAGTACCATTCACAGCAGCAGCAGCAGCAGCAGCCGCAAGCAGCAACATGAGCGGTTGCGAGGGGCGCAGGCTGCGCAGGGCTCGCAGTAAGAGTAGCCATGGCATCGGCAGGGAAGCCATCTTCAAGTGCGCGCGGGAATAAACTATTGCCGGCAGCGCTCAGAGCAGCGAGCGCGGGGAGTACGAGCGATCTGGGCGCTTCTGGGGCTCCACATCTAACTGGAATCGGCGCGCACCCCGAAACGCTGACACTGGCACCCCAAACATGACTGAGCAGAGCCGACACTTTCACAGGGACGGATGTACAACCTCGAAGTTCCACCAATCCTTTGAGCGCAGGTGGTTGAAACATACAACTCCTCCCATATGGCCCCTCCTTCGCTCTGCGGACGGACCCGCTACCCCCCACGCCGCGTCACTTCTCCCACATCGCCCAAGGACTCGGAGTGGCTGCCAATCTGATGTGGTGGTCGCTCAAGGCAATTCTTGGAGAGTGGCACAGGCAATCAACAGAAATCATTGTTGGGCTGGGCCTCGGATCGAGGATTAGGGGGGGCTGTTAGGGCTCTGTGCAGGCTCTCTGGGGTGCTCTTGGAAGCCCGTGGGGCCCTGTTGGGCCTCTCGGAGCTTTTGGGGCTATCCAGGGATCCTCTGGACGCACATATGAAAATGAATAGTGCAGCGGTTCTCGAGTTTTGTGAAGCCTTTCGTGGCCCTTTGGAGGCTCTTTTGGGGCACTCCTGGAAAACCTCGGGACCCTGTTGGGGCCCCCTTCGGGGCCATGCTGGGGCCCTCGTAGCCTTCTCAAAGCCTTTTGGGCTATCCTGAAGCCCTCTGGAGGCATGCTCAAAACTTCTCGCCGGGGAGGCGGTGGACCACGAGGAGAAGGAGAAGGAGAAGGAGGAGGAGAAGGAGGAGGAGGAGGGCGGCGGCGGCGGTGGCAAGGGAAAGAACGATAATATATCTCGCGATCTTCGCGCCTGCGCTTTGGCCTCGTGCTCCGCCTTCCACTCGTCGAAGGCCTTCGCACAGCCGAGAGCCGACGGGGCGGCGCAGCCGGGAGGCTCGGCAGGCAGGGCGTCCGCGGGAGCAAGAGCGGTCTCGCGCTGCTGCTGCTGCTCCTGCTGTTCTTCCTCCTCCTCCTCCTTCTCCTCCTCCCCCTCGCCTTCTCCTTGCCCTCGTCCCCATTCGTCCTCCTGCTCGTCTTTCTCGTCGTCCGCGTCCTCGTCCTTCTCGTCATCGCCCTCGTCGTCCTCGTCGTCCTCGTTCTAATCCTCCTCCTCCTCCTGCCCTTCGCCCTCCTCGACCTCCCCCTCCCCCTTTATGATATTGTTGCGCCTCCTCCTCCTCCTCCTTCTCCTCTTTCTCCTTCTTCTTATACCCATCCCTCTCCACCCTCGACCCATATTTCTCCTGCACTTCCACATTTCCTTCCACCTTCCCTCTCTTCCGTCGTTGACAAGAATGCAAGCTTCAGGAAATGGTCCAGAACCAGATCATCGCAAAATTACGCATAAACACCATTGCATGAAAACTCAAGGACTCCCCACCTATGGAGAGATGGTCAGCTTGGCATCCAGGGACAAGCTCAGTGACACGTCCACCGTGTAGCATTACTGTGACAATATCAAACTCCCAACTCCACAAGCACACAGCGCAGGCCAGCATTTGGCCGTTGCCTTTGCATGGCGTCCTGTAGTCGCAGATATTTGACCTGAAAGCGGATTCGGACTCTTTCCACATGCGAAGGAGCAGTTTCCACAAAAGAGAAGTTCAGTTCGATCATCCTGCGAAGACGACTGCAGACCTGCAAATCGTGGAGGCTGTATGATGCCGGCGACATCGACGATAGATGACGACCGACGACCCACGACCGACGACAACGACGACGACGACGACGACGGGAACGACGACCGACCGACAGACCTACCAACCGATGGACGACCGAAGACAGACGCCCGACGACGGACGACCCGTGACCGACTACCGACGACGGTGACGACGAAGACGACGACGACGAAGACGACGGACCGACCGGCCGGCCAGCCGACCGACCGACCGACCAACAGACCGACCGATGACCGACGACTGACGACGATCCTCCGCAGACCGACGGCGGACGACAGACGACCCACGACGAGCCGCGGCCGCTCGCATGGCCTCCGTCGGGTTGGACACGCGCAGCTCGTCGGGGGCCTCCCGCCGCGCCCCGCTGCCGAGAACCCCCTGCCGCAGTCGCGCACTCAGGCGGGAGGAGGAGGAGGAGGAGGAGGAGGAGGAGGAGGAGGAGGAGGAGGAGGAGGAGGAGGAGGTGGAAGAGGAGGAGGAGGAGGTGGGAGAGGAGGAAAAGGAGGAGGAGGAGGAGGAGGAGGAGGAGGAGGAGGAGGAGGAGCAAACGTACCCTGAGGGCGAGTCCCGATCCAGCTCTAGGCGCGGAGCGCCAAGCGCGCTGCACCAGTGACTCGCGTGGCAGATTCGTATGTATGATAAGCCGAAGCGGCCAGAGAGTCCTTCGATATATGGTAAATGTGGAAGGCAAGGACGGTGGCTTCGACAGCCTGGAGGCGCGTTATCTCACAGTCTTCTGTGCCGTACTCAGTCGGGGCACCGAGGCCGAGCCAAAGGAGGGGGTCCGAAGGAAAGACAAGCCGCATCCAGCTTAAGGCGACATGGTGGCGCATCCGATGGCACATAAAATAGTGAGCTATCGCATCAGGGCCTCCACATCCAAAGATACAGTCACGAGTGTGCCGCGAAACATGCATGCGCGCACTTGTGGTCCAGCCTCAGCACACGCTCTTGGTTTGCGCCCACCGCCACGCAGGCCTGACTTGCTCAAGACTTTCACGCACAAGAGCCCATCTCGTATCAAGATCTGGTGGACATGTGAACTGCCACTTAGTAAGCCTGCGAGCGATCGTGAGAAACAATATATCAGGAAACACAGCGTGCATGAGCGAAGTGCCTACAACTCTCTGAAGCTTGGGGTGACGAGCCTCCTGGAGAGCACTGCGAAGCTCTCGGCGCCATTCAGCCCGGGCATTGTCCCAAACGCAAAGCGAGAAGGGGAAGAGAGGGCGAGGCAAGCCGTTGCGACGACGCAGGACGACACGAGGGGTGGAGGTGGTGAGTTCCTGGTAGTACTGCACAATTGCTTGGCCATGCTTCCAGCACGGGGCGCACCATTCCCCGAATGCCCAACGGGGGGCGGATAGGGGGAAGGATCCACAGGCAGCAACGGCGGCCTGCTGCAGCTTGTCGTAAGCAGCGTGCCAGTCGGGCACGGTGTGGGTCAATGTGCGCCAAGCCGCCGAGACACCCAGGAGCATCAGCGATTTCGGCGTCGAGCCGATCCAATGCAACGACAACAAATCGGCGCGAGAAAACGCATTGGGGGGAAGACGGAGCAGCTTGTGAAGAGCGAGAGCCTCACGCGAGAGAGCAAGAGGGGACATGGGGAATAATTGGGCGAGATAGCCGAGCGTTGTAACAGCATACATGTTAGACTGATACACCAGAAGCGGCGCGGCAGCACGAGACGAGGGGAGCTCGATCGCTCGGTGCCACCACTTCTGGGACGCGACGTGCCACTGGCCAAGAAAGCCTCCACCGGGGCCAAACTGGACACCGAGATACGCTGTAGCCGGCTGAACATCAAATGAACAGAACGTAGGGACCTCAAATTGGAGCCACAGCTTAATTCGCGACACAAGCTCGGACGTACATTCGGTCCAGAGCGGCACGATGCAACATTTGGCATGCTGTAGAGACAAGTGTGCATGGCGCTTGATGGCACTGACATGCGGGGCTAATCGTGCGAGCGTGCGGAGCTGGGGCAGGAGGGTGCCAATGTCGTCGGCGCATCCTCCTACTTCTCCTGGGCTGTCTCCTGGAGGAGGCTGCTCAACAGCCTCAGGAGGAGGAGGAGGAGGAGGTGGTAGAGGAGGAGGAGGAGGAGGAGGAGGAGGAGGAGGAGGAGGAGGAGGAGGAGGGGGAGGGGGAGGAAGAGGAGGGGGTCCCTCCGGCCGGTCGGGCCACGCCGAGCGCTGCCTCTCAGGCTCCAGGCGACCTCAGGCTCCTCCAACTCCTCGCCATCGCTCGGACGTCCATTCCCTATGTTTTTTCGGTTCCGTGCGTGGTTTTTCGCCGAATGATCAAGGATGCTCCTCGATGGTCCTCGCCGAAGGAAAACTTCACACGTCCGAGCGATGCCAAGACTCCCCCCTCCCCCCTCCACATCCTCGCACCAGAACTCCTCACCCTCGTCCTTCTAGTCGTCCTTCGCCTCCTCCCCCCCCTCCCCTGTTCGAGGCCAGGACCTCGCGCGTCGCGCGCGCTGAGGCTCCCGCCCAGGCACTTGCATGGCATCCGGCCCACTGTTCCAGGAGGGTTGAAATAAGAGAGGCATGAAAGCTGGCGCGGGTGGAAGAGGAAAAGGATGGTGGAACACGACGGCCGACGAGGAAAGTGCACGAGGAAGGTGGAGGGTGTTCCAGAACGGAGAGGTGAGACGAGATGGGGAGGAGGAGTGAAGGGGGAGGTTGAAGAGGACAGCTCAGTCTCCCTGTTCCCCCGTCTCCCTCCTCCCCGACGACGACGACCGACCGACCGACCGACGTCCTCGAAAGACCTGGGAAAGTCTCCAGATGACTTTGGAGAACCGCGGCGCTTCGCGCGCTCAGGCTTCAGCGCAGGCCAAGGCGCTGCCAGGAGACAGTGGACGAATGACGCGATGTATCCTGAGGTTGGCGCCCATTTTCGCTGGCTTCGTGGCTATTTCGAATAACCCCGTCCAGTTTCCCGCCCTCCCGCGTCCTCCATCACTTTTCCTCCGCTCCTTGCTCCTAGCTGCTTACGTTTTCCTTGAACTGTCGTCAGCCTTCGCTTTCGCGGTCAACTCTCCTCTCGTTCGGTTTATGTCCCAATGGGGCGCGCTCGAAGAGTTCAGCGGAGCCCGTCTTGGCCCTAACTTGTGGCCTGACTCCTGCGCATAGGTGTTCTACTACTACTACTACTACTACTACTACTACTACTACTACTACTACTACTACTACTACTACTACTACTACTACTACTACTACTACTACTACTACTACTACTACTACTACTACTACTACTACTACTACTACTACTACTACTACTACTACTACTACTACTACTACTACTACTACTACTACTACTACTACTACTACTACTACTACTACTACTACTACTACTACTACTACTACTACTACTGCTACTACTACTACTATCATTCAAACAACTACTACTACTACGACAACTACGCCTACTACTACTGCTGCTGAGATTACGACTACTACGACTACAAGTGCTACTACTACTACTACTACTACTACTACTACTACTACTACTACTACTACTACTACCACTACGACTACTAAAAACGACCACTAGTACAACTACGACTACCACTACTACGACTACTACTACCATTACTTCTACGCCTACTTCCACTACCACTACTGCTACTACTACTTCTCCTTCTCCTACTACTACTACTACTACTACTACTACTACTACTACTACTACTACTACTACTACTACTACTACTACTACTACTACTACTACTACTACTACTACTACTACTACTACTACTACTACTACTACTACTACTACTACTACTACTACTACTACTACTACTACACTACTACTACTACTACTACTACTACCACTACTACTACTACTACACTACCACTACTACTACTACTACTACTACTACTACTACTACTACTACTACTACTACTACTACTACTACGATTACGATTACTACTACTACTACGATTACGATTACTACTACTACTACTACTACTACTACTACTGCTACTACTACTACTACCACTACTACTACTACTACTACGAATTCCATTGATATTATTAGCATTACTATTACGACGACCCGACTACTACTGTCTGAGTTGGCGAACGCGCAGGGGCATAACACTTCTGCCCTGTAGCCTGCCAGGGCCAGCTTGATCTCGGGGTGCTCCTCCCAGCCGGCCGCCGCGTCTCTCACGCCGTGCATTGCCCGAAGCAGAAGGCCTACCTTTCCACCCTCGCCTGCAGAGCCCTCATGGGGAATGCGAATGAACAGCTTGCGCTTAGCTGGCGGGTGGAAGTGGGCCCTGGAGATGCCCGGGATCAGAACCTTCTTGACCTTGAAGCCGCCGTCGGGGTTCTTGGCCTTCATCGTGGCCTTGCTCAGCGCCATCTCGATGCCCCCCCGCGGCGGCGCGCCCGCGAAAGTGTCCTCGAGCCACGGGCTCTTCCACTTGAACTCCTTTGCGCAAAGACGCGACCTCACGTTCGCATTCTCGTGGTATCCCTGGTTGACGTCCACCCGCCAGCGCCGGCGATCTCGCGGCCATCCGCCTCCGAGACGCCCGCCGGCATATAGGCGGGAAAGCTGCGGAGGAACTCGACCTCCGCCCGAGCCTGGGCCACCTTCTCAGCGGGCAGCTGCGCGCCAGTGACGTCGTCGAAGACGCTCTCATGCTCGGGGGCGCGCAGCGTCTCGCGGGTGTCGGCGCCCACGTTGTAGCCCTCGTTCAAGCCTCCCAGCGAGATGCCCATGCCGCTCGCAATCGCGTCGAACCCGATCCCCGCCTTGAAGCCGCGCGGGATAACTGCCGCGAGAGCTGGCGGGCAGTTGGCCTTGTACTTGGCCTTCCCGCCCAGGAGGCGACAGTGCTGGCGGCGCCCACCGCGCCGGTTCCGACGCTGGGACTGGGCGAGCTCCTTCGCGACGAACAGGGAGTTGGTCATCCAGCCCGTGCGGCCCTGGACCGTCGCGTCCTTCATGCTGCCGTCGGGCTGCTTGACGGACCTAGCGGTCGTTGTCCATCTGCCTGCGATACATCGCCATGCAGATGTCCCGGTGCTCGAGGGCCTCCGCCACGAGGCCGTCGATGGCATCCTGCATCGCCCACCCGAAGTCTAGGAGAGCCGCCCGCGCGGTGCAGCGCTGGGAACCGATGGGGAACAGCGGCCGCTCACGATCCTGGAGTCGCATTGCTTCATCCTTCTGCTCGGGGACATTCAGGCCCCACCCGGCGCCGAGGTCGAGCGGGGACTCCGGAGCAAGGCTGGACTCGCGAGCGCGCTCCACGAAACTGCCGCGCCCGAACGCCTCGGAAACCTTCGCCACGTCAGCCTCGAGCTGTGCCAGTTCGATCGGGCTGCAGCCGAACTTGACCAGGTCAGCATTGATGGACTTCACCATGGAGCTGATGTCCTCCATCCTGGCGACGTCGCCGCCGCTCGCCTCCATGGCCACCAGCGTGGGCTCGGTGGCCACGTCCTCCGGCAGCTCGAGGTTCGGGTCTTCGGACATCGCGCCGGCGTCCGCAGCGGGCGCTGCCGCCGCGGTCGCCAGCCCGGAAGCCCCCACCTGCATAGGCGCAGGTGTGCCCGGCGCAGCCGCCAGACCAGGCGTCGCGGGGGCAGCCTGACCGGCCGGCGTCTCGCCCCACTGCGCCTCTTTGCTCCCTCCAGGCGCTCAGCCGCTTCAGCGTTGCCCATCGTCGCCTGCTCGACCCGGGCCCGACAGGCCCCGGAATGCGCCACTGCAGTCTTGCCCTCCTCGGCCGCCCTGCAGCCCCTGCAGCCCCTCGGCGCGCCCGAAGCCGCCCTCCGCCACCGGCCTGAGCACGACCTCGCGGCGGATGTAGACGCGCCTCGGCCCCGCCAGCGACTTGCCGGCCAGCGTCGGCGGCAACGCCGCGGCCGGGACCACCGGCGCAACTGCCGAGAAGGGAGCGATCCCCTCAGCGTCGTCGCCCGCCTGGTGGGGCCCCAGCCATCCTTTGCATGCCTCCGCGAAGCTTTCGTTGCCATGTTGCTCCTCCGGCAGCCGCCGGATCGCGTTAGCCTTGAAGCAGCCGTCCTTCGGTGAGCGGTCGACGAGCCCCGCGCAAATGCCAGCGTGGAAGCGCTCGTCGAGCTTCCGCCGATGCTTGCCGTCAGCCGCGGTCAAGAGCATCGCCAGCTCGCCGAACTCCGGGGGCCGACGGCGGCAGGGCCTGCCTTTCCGCCGCTCGAAAGCCGCCCTGCCGTCATCGCCAGACCTGCGGAAACGATTCAGCAGCTGCGACGATTAGCGAATGGCCCACGCCACCCATTGGTGAGCCGCGTGGAACTTTGTCTCGCGGAGTTCTGTCGACCGGTGGACCGGGGCCCTGGCGAGGCCCTGGATCTCCAGATCTGCAAGCTCGACGTAGCTGTTCTTCTGGGAGTCTCCGACTGGGCTCTCCTCAGGGGCAACCGAGATCCCCCAGCCCATGCGGCGTGCCTCAGAGACGTGCGGCCTTCTTGACCGCCGAAGAGCCCTCGCCGTCGGACTTGAAAATCAACTTGGCATGGTGTCCTGGGCCACGATACTATACGAATGCTCGCGCTTGGTGCCCTTGCTTCGGACGGCGCGAGCGCCCGCCCAGCGTGCGCCAGCAGGAGGCGGACTATCCTTGACGACGATGAACAAGACCGTCCTGCTCTCGATCTTCGCGACGTCGCTCTTCTCGCCGAGGAAGCCGTAATCTTTGTGAAGCACTGGGACTTGGCCGTCGATCTCGGAGGCTCGATGCTGGCCGGCCTTGCCTCGACCCGCCACGCAGTGCCTGCGCCAAGTTCGATGTGGCACAGGTGGCGCAGGTCGTGCTCGGCTATCTCGTCTGGCGCCGGCATCACAGGGCTCGCCAAAGCTCGCGCCTTCGGCCGCCCAACGTCTGAGTCACCACGCATAGGTGCGCCAGCGTCGCCCACGATGCGAGGGGGATGGGGCGCCGGCGCAGCCAGAGGGGGCGACCCCGCCGAAGAAGATGCCGCCGTCGCACTCCCTACAGTGTCTGCTGGATCAGCAGGCGGAAAGTATGGTGGGTTCTGCGCCGGAGCCAAGGTCAGGGGCTCGCACTGCAGCTTCTCCATGCCCACGTCGAGTCCTACGGTCAGGCCTGCCCGCTGCCCCCCGAGCACGGGGTCACGGAGGCCTCGATCTCGAACGCGTTGTTGGACCGCTCGATCTTCACCACGGAGCCGGCCGTCGAATGGATGGCGAACGCCCCCTTCTCCCTGCCAGCGAAGAAGTGGACGTCCAAGCCGATGTCGTTGATCTGCAACGCTGCGCAGCAGCTTGCGAACGTCGCAGTCGACGTGCACCTTCATGTTCCTCTCGCCGAGGCCCACAGTGCCTTTGCTGCCCTTGCCCGCCGGGGCGCGCTCGAAACTGGCCCTCGATTCTGGCGCGTCCTTCGCGGGGTCATCGCTGCAGATCCTCGGGCCACGCCGTCGCGCCAGCGCCCGGGTCGACTCCGACCCTCGCGCGCCTGCAGTCCTGGAAGCCACAGACGTCTGCGCACTGGCGCTCAAATGAGCAGGGCAGCAGTGAATAGTTACATCTGCTGAGTCGAAGCCAAGGAATTGCTGGTCGAACGGGGTCAGGGCGAGACTGTGCAGATCGCGGTGGAGGTGGGCACGGTTGCGATGCACTTCCCGCCGCGTCGCCCACCTGGCTGACCCGGCGGCAATTGCCCTCCTGGGGCCGAGCCGCCCGAAGCTCCTGGCACTGCTCCCCCTCGTGGCCCCGGATGCCGCACCGCCCGCACTCGCCGTCGAAGCGGGCGCCGTCGCCCCTGCCAGCGCCGGCGCCGCCGCCGCCGTCGCGACCGTGACCTCGCTCTCCTCCGGCCTTGCCGCCCTTGGTGCCATCCTTGCCTGTGCCGTCTTAGCCCTTGCCTGCGCCTTTGCCGCCGCCCTCCTTGCCCTTGCCCTGCCCTTTGCTGCCCGGGCGCCCTCGGCGCCAGCATCGCCGCCGAAGGTGCCCGATCTTGCCGCAGATGTCGCAGCGCGGCCTGACGTCACCTACGCCGGCGCCCATGGGAATCGGGCCCTGGGCAAGGTGCTTCTCGGCCCTGCAGACGCCGATGATCTCCTCCTTGGTCTTGTCGTAGCTGTCGAGCCTGTCCGAGTTAATGACGAGGTGTTTCGCGATGTCCCCCTGCTCGATGTTCTTGGTCATGACGCCAGTGCGGAGTTCATCGTCCACCTACTTCTCGGGCGCGCGCTCGCGCTGCTGGATGACCTTCTCGAAGCGCTCCAGCTCGCGCAGCAAATCGTCCGACTCGAAACCGAAACTCAGCACCTGCTGGAACAGGCTAGTCGCGCGCGTCCGCGCTGCTCTGTGAGCTGTCGCCACAGCAAGAGCCCTTGCCCGCGCCCAGACAGGGCGACCTTTCCCGCCGCCTTGCCCTCGAGGAGCATGGCGAGGATGTAACGCAGTTGGGCGCTGAATTCCTCGTCTTGGTCAATCTCCAGGGCCGCATTGGCTGCGTTCTCGGCCGTCTCGGCTGCGTCCATCAAGACGGGAAGGCGCTCGCTGATGGCGCCCGCGCGCGCTCTCGTCGTAGTCGACCACTGATGCCAGTCGCCGCCCCCCCCGCTGAAGTTCGTCGGCCCCCCATGAGCCGAGTGCCCGCCGCCCCCAGCAGTACTGGCCGAGCTGCCGCTGCCGCCTTTTGCCGGGCGTTCGCGCGCAACTCGTCCAGCGCGCCTCGGAGCTGTAGGTTAGCGTCGCGCAGCTCGGCGACCACCTGCCCCAGCGCTGCCGCGCGCTGCTCCGTCATCTTCGTCGCCTCGCCCCCGGATCTGCTTCAGCCGCTGCCCTCGGCGGGCCCGGCACCTGCGCTTGAACTCGAGGCGGAGGAGGCGGCCCGTGATCAGGGCCCAGCAGTCGACCAGCAGCGGCGGCCGCTCGCAGTCCTGCTCGGCCGGCGCGCCCACCAGCTCGAAGCTGCCTGCCATGGCCTCCAGAGACGCCGCCCCGCGGGAAGGGGAGCGGTTGGCTCTCGCCACTATGGGAAATTCTCTTTCCGAGATGGCCGCGGACAGGCGCGCGAGAGGACGCATATCTGCAGGGGACTATGAACACAAATCAATAGACCGAGAACATTATGAACCCATTCCCAAAACACGAGACACCAGGTTCGCAATGTTCGGGGGGGAGGGGGGGGCATTTTTGAACCCTAATCAAGTGTCCCAGAACATTAGGGACCCGCTCCTGGAACATGAATACCAAACCCAAGTTCATAATGCTTGGGTAAGGGGGGGGGGGGCATTCAGAAGCCCGGGCAAAATTGTCAGAGCACTATGGACCCAGATGAACATCTTCGTGGAGTCGAGGCTCCCGAACAACTTTAAACCGGGTTTTTATTGCTCCACAAAAACAACTTGAACCCGTGCCAAGATTCCCGGAACAGTAAAACCTGGGTTCGTAGTGTTCCGGAGGGGACATTATGAACACCTGTCGATATTCCCGGAGCATTAGGAACCCAGGTTAACATAATTTCGGGGTCCATCCTGCTCCTCCAGCGCGAAGCCAGCGCGAAGCCACTGCGTCCCAGGCGCCGCGTCGCTGGCCTCTGGCTTCACCGCTTTCGCCAGCTCCTTGCGGCTCGGGTCCAGCTCCGGGCCCTTCCACTGGTCGACTGTGATCAGGGTGCGGAGCGAGGCCGCGATTGATACCTCATCGGCGCCTGCCGCGGGCTCGCGCCCAGGCGCCTGGGTGGTAAACGCGTCGCGCACGCAGAGCTCGTTGTCCTCGAGCTTGCGCCCCTCGGCAACCGCGGCCTTGAACTCCGCCGTCCCGAACTCGGGCCGCCCCTCGAAAAGCGCCTCCCACCCGCCGTTAGCGAAAGTGGTGTTGTCCTTGGCCGAGAACGCCCTCGTGGCACGGCCCTGGAAGCGCTTGCAGCGCCCAGCGCCAAGACAGGCCGAACGCGCCGGCGAACACCTCGGGGTAGCTGGCCGACGCGCTAGACACCTTGACCAGGCGGCCGCCCTTGACACGGATCCCGACAACGGCGACGCACGTGCGTCGCTCCGATGGGCTGGGAAATTGATAGCGCCGCCCCATAGCACCCACGCGCTCGCGAACAGCTGGACCAGCTCCGTACCGACGCGGGACTTCAGAGGCCCACTTCAATCACAAACTCCAGGTCGACCTCGACGCACGCCAGGCCGCCAGGCCCAACGCCATCTCCTCGCCCACGACCAGGCACGTCAGCCGGTAGCCCAGCCCGCGCACTGCCTCAAGCTGGGCCGCTCTGGCCGCTGGCAAGAAAAGAAGAAAACAGTGGGAAACTTGCACATGACTTAACACCCTCCTCGCAAAGGCCGCACATTCGTCTGGAGGGCGACTTAGATTTCGTGATGTTGAAGGTAATATAATCGAATCGAATCTGGTGGGCGTCGTGGATTGCGCGAGGATGACAGCAGTGCGCCTTCCACTGGGTGTGGTATACGTATGGGACACAAGTGATATGGCGAGTGCATATGACGTCGCAATCATGCCATGCGGTTGCTCGGCATAGAAGAACGACTGCTGGTTGCGATTGCGGTGTCGTCGCCGCCTCTTCTGAGGATGAGCTGCCTATACCGCGGAAAATCGCGTTATCATTGCGTGCCCGACTTACCTGTACCAATCATTTGGAATCGTTTCGCTCACTCCGCCAACCCAGGACATCTATCTTTGCCGCGTGCTCGTGCGTTGTAGCGGAAGGTGGATTGTATTGTTTGGTGGTGCCCGTGTGGCCAAGTTCTCGCGCGATGTCACGCTAAGGTGACGCAGACGTTGGCGCAGCTGCTGTGCGCTCGCGCATCCCATAGGGATCAAACAAGCCAGAGCGAGCGCGTTCAACTGCCGTGGCGGTGGTGGCGGCGGCAGTGAAGACCAGGAGGACGGCGAGAACGACGATGAGAATGGGTACGAAAACACGAAGATGACAAGGAGGTGGGATGGCAGCTCCTCCCTCCTCCCTCCTCCCTCCACCCCTTCCTCCGTCCTCCCGGAGGGGAGAAGGGGAGGGATGCACGCTACCCTCTGCGGCGGCCAGCGTCCCGCGAGCGCTCGCGGGCGCGCGCCTGGGCCTCGGCCTCGGCCTCCTTCGCCTCGCGCTCCTGAGGTGAAAAGAGAAGGCGGGGGGAGGACGGGCGGCTTGAGATCGATCATTGGGGCCCCTCCCGGGCCGCGTTTTGCCCAGGATCTCGAGGCCCATCCAGTGGCGACGATGAAGCCCGCGGGGCCCCTCCTTCTCATCCTCATCCCTTTTCCCTCCTCCCTCCCCCCTCCTCCCGCGTCGAGGGCCACCAATTCCGATTCCGTCGCCTCGAGGGGGGGGGATATCGTGGTCAAGGCGGTGGTAGAGAACATCCTTCGCGTGTGGGAGCGTGCAGGGGGTGAGGAGGTGTTGGGTCCCGCACCTGCGAAGAAGCGGGAGCAGAAGCTGTTGGACGCATTAAGCAGCTGAAACAATGATCTGGCGGCGCAATGCATCCTCCCCTGCCTCCCCCCCTCCAGACACAACAATAACGGTGATTCGCGGCGCTGAAGTTCCAATGGTGTTTTGGCACAGTTCAGGATGTTCTAGCGTTTGTTTTCCAACGGGGCACTTCCTTGAGTGAGAATAAACCCTTGTAGGGGCCTGTGAAGAGGGAGCTTGGAGGATTGGTGACTTGCAACATCGTCAATAAGCCTGGGGTTTACACTGGTCCTTCTCTTCCTCCTCCTCCTCCTCCTCCTCCTCCTCCTCCTCCTCCTCCTCCTCCTCCTCCTCCTCTCCCAGAAATGAATGCGAGGAGTCAATCAGAACAGCGACCGCCACAAACGAGTAGGCGGTGTTTGTCGCAATCGACGGCCGCCTTACGAAATGCGGGCGAAGTGTCGCGAAGCAAACCTGGTGATGGGATATTGGCGCAGTATTTTGCACTTGCCACTTGCAAGCCTTTGCTGACGGATGCCGCGAGCGTGCTAGCGGTGCGGCGATGTCCTGTCCCTGCTCCACCCCGCCCCCCCATCCCTCTTCCGTTGACGCGTGTGGTCCAGAAAGCGGCCTGGTCGGGCAGATTCAGCATGCCGCGAACCAAGCCCAGCGGAGACGCCACGCGGATGCGTCCCGCTGCTGGAATGGGGGCTTGACCTGTCTACGCAACGGGTCGCGTCGCTCATGTTGGCAAGATTTGATTGGCGATACTTCGTCGCGGTTTACATCGCTCTATGCATGCTCATCGGCTTGCTGCATCGAATGTGCCGGACCGAACCCGACCTTTCCGTCGTTCCTCCTCTTCCCTCCGCCTCCCTCCTCCTTCTCCTCCTCATCCTCCTCTTCCCCATCCTCCTCCTCCTCCTCCCCCTCTTCCCCCTCATCCTCGTCTTACTCCTCCTTCTTCTCCTCCTCCTCGCGGCGGGTCCAGAGGGCCGATGCTACGATCAAGAGAGAGGCCGCGTAAGAAGCCTACACTAACTCTTCGTCATACTGTACACCAAACATTGAGCCAGCCTTGCCCGCGAGATCTCGCAAATCTGCAGGGGTTCCGAAACTGGGCCAGTTAACAACATGTGTGCCGAAGAAGCGCTGTGCCAAGAGAACAGTGGGACGGTTCATGGTAACTGGTGTCGGTGAGTTCCGAGGCAATTCTGGAGCGCTCGAGAACGCTCGGGGGGGGGCTTGAACATGCAATGGCTCGATTTGTTCATGTGCGAGCGGGGTCAAATCCTCGACATGAGAACCAGTCCCCGCTGCGTTGAGCTTGCGTTGGGCTAAGCCGAAGCTTCATAATGTATGTACTATGGCGCTTCGCTGCGTTCAGCCTGCACCCACTCACAAGAGATGTTCGAAATGGAGTCGTGTCAGGCTCGCTGTTGTACAGGCCAGCGCCATCATGCAAGTGGTTGCTCATCCTCTTTCTCCTCCTCCTCCTCGTTCTCCTCATCCTTCTCCTCGCCCTCGTTCTCCTCATCATCCTCTGTCTCCCCTTCCTCTGGCTTCCCTTCCTCCTTCTTCCGCAAGGCTTCGCGCCATGGCGGCCCTTTGAAATGCGACCCAAGAAGCCCGTTGCTATAATACGTTCGACCGTGAACGCGACTTGTCCGATCAGGTGATACGTTCATGTCTCGCCAAGCGCGACCCTCGATACCATCCTGCAAGCGTAAAACATCGCCGCTGCACGAACTAGTGTTGCAACCTCCATGGGCGGCCTCCGAAAAATCTGTCTACAGAAACATCGCATGTACGACGGAATCAGGCAGACGATCGCGGCTCAGCAGGCAAGTCTTCGGCCTCCAACCCAAGCGATACTCCCATGGGACGTGAGGTTCTTGTCGTGCCCCCGAAGAGACGACAGCACGCGAGCCGCGCGAACAGCTGCTTGCCGATGCACCTCAGATGCTGTGACCGTCGTGCCATGCAGCAGGCCAGCAGGCACTCCGCCGTCCCCAACTTCTCCTCCTCCTCCACAACCACCTCCTCCTCCTCCACAAAACGAGTCCTCTTCCTCCTCTTCCTCCTCCTCCTCCTCCTCCTCCTCCTCCTCCTCCCCCCTCCTGAAACTATTGCAACTCCTCTCGGCTGTCCGTCCCTGAGTTGCCTGACTTTTGTCCTGTCTCTCGTCCCATCGTGCATCAGAGGAAGGCATCTCAGGGTGTCGCAGTGGCGTCGCCGTCGGAGCAACCGAACAATCGGCCCAGGTTCTTCTACTATTGCACCAGCACCATTACAACCTCATGCTCATCACCATAGTCCTGAGTCCTCCGTCAACATACCACAACAAACCTCTTCCTCCGCCTCAACTTCCTCCTCTTCATACTATTCATACGCTTCCTCCTCCACGAACCACCACCACCGAAACCAGCTCCTCCTCCGCCTCCTCCACCACCACCTCCTCCTCCTCCTCCTCCTCATCCCCCTCCTCCCCCCCCTCCTCCTGCCTCAAGCCCGGAAGAGGCAATGCCGCGAGCAGAAGCTGCTGCGCCGGGCACGCCTTGCGCGCCTCCTCCAGGACCTCCCTTGCCATCCGCTCGCGCTCGTTGGCCGCCTGCGTCGATCGAAAACCAGGCCAGGATGGACCCCAGAAAAGGGCTGAGTGCTGACAGTGGGCGAGGGGAGTAAGAGGAGGAGGAGGAGGAGGAGGAGGAGGAGGAGGAGGAGGAGGAGGAGGAGGAGGGGGAGGAGGAGGAGGAGGAGGAGGAGGAGGAGGAGGAGGAGGAGGAGGAGGAGAAGGACCAGTGCAGACCCAGGATGCAGCAACGATGCTGCAAAAGTACCTCCCGCCCCAAGTCCCCAACTCATAACGGCGCCCATCAGGCCTACCCGTCAGGCAGCATCAACATGTTGAACCGGATCTGGTATACACCCTTCGGGATGTTGGGAGCACGAACGGGCAGGATCCTAAGGTCCAAGCACAAATCAAGCGAGAGCCCTGGCCTCAAGAGGAACAGCCCTCGGCCGGTGGAACCGTTACAGCAAATCACCTTTCTGGCACTGAAGGTGAAGGAAGTCGTTGTCGAGACCCTCATGCGGGAAAGCAGCTGCCCTCCATCCATGTATTTGTTGCCCAAGTTCGAAGAAGTCTCAATCGAGAGTCCATCGTTGAAAAAGAACCGCACTCATCCCTTGTACCTAACTGTTGGGAACTTTCAAACGAATGCTCGGCGCGAAGGCGAGAGCCATATAATGAAAACCACCAGTCCTGCATCTTCAAAACTGCTAGAAACGTTCAAGGCGAATGTGCGCGGCATGAAAGCGAGAGCCAACTTTTTCCCACACTTGGCTTTCCCTGAGAGGGTCTATCCTGTTCATGACAGAAACTGGTGAGTGCGGGCCTCTTCGGGAGTGCACGGGGTTGCTCGGGATCGCGCGGGATTGCCCAGGGCTGCCCGGAGATTGCCAAGCAATACCAAGCAACGTCAAGCGATGCCAAGGAATGCCAAGCAATGCCAAGGAATGCCAAGCCATGCCAAACAATACCCGACAATGCCGAATAATGCCAAGCAATGCCAAGCAATGCAAAGCACTGCCAAACAATGCCAAGAGATGCCACGCAATGCCAAACAATGGAAAGCAATGCCACACAATGCCAAGCAATGCCAAGCACCTATTCCAAGCAATGCCTAGCAACGCCAGGCATAGCCAAGCAATACTAAACGACGACAAGCAACGCAAACCAATGCAAACGCAATACCAGCATGCCCAGCGACGCCAAGCAACGCAAGCAACACAAAACAATGGCAAGCAACGCAAAGTAATGCCAAGAAGCAACGAGTCCAAGCACAAAGAAAATGCCAAGCATAACCAAGCAAGTCCAAGCAATGCCGAGCAAGGCGAAGCGACGCAGAACAATGCTAAGCAACGCCATGCAACTATTCCGAGCAATGCCAAGCAACGCCAGGCAACGCCAGACAATGCAAATCAATGCCAACCACCACAAAGCAATGCAAAGCAAAGCAAAGCCAGGCACTGCTAAACAATGCTCTTCACTGCGCTGCTGCTGCGAACTGGCCTCGAGGAAACAAGACAGCTAATTTGGGCCACGCCGCGTTCACGAAGAACGGTCCGCCCTCAATCCGTGCAGCTGCGGGGAACGTTTTGGACGAATGTGCCAGACGCTCAGGCGAAAGCTCGTTTTTTTGAAGACCGCCCACCCATCATTCCTGCTATTACCAGAAGCGTTTACAGCGAATGCTCGCAGCGCTAGGGCGAGAGTCACGTTTCGAAGACGCTTCGCCCTCCTTCCTTACAGCTGTTCCAGATGTTCAGCTCATGACCACACATGCTAAGGACGTATCACGTTCTTATAGTTGCTCGCGATATACACATTAACTCTCATAAGTGCTGAGGACGCCTCAAACGAAACGCCTGGCATGGCGTACCGACATGATTGGCGACGCGATGAGGCGTTACTTGCAAGGAAGATCGATCGAGGAGGAGGGTTTATGGAACCTGGTGATTATAGGCGGATGAGCGCCTGAACACGAGGAGATGTTCCCAGTTTATGTTTCTCTAGGCTTAAGGACGCCCAAGCCCGCGGTGGGCCGTTTGGGGTCGGCAGGCTGAGTACGTCCAACAGCAAACGGTGGCCATCAGCTATCGCCCAACCGTTGGACAATGGTTGCCCTCTGAAGGACTTCCCGTGTGCATCGAATGGTTTGTCCTCGGGGATCGGATGCCTCGCCCATGTCTCCTGGAATGAAGGAGGGTGGCCAGGGGGGAGAGGCGGTGGGAGTCGGGTAGAACCAAGAAAGGAGAGGAGAGTACAGTACACCACCACCAGCTCTGGCCAAGCCCATCCTGGGCCCTGGCCAGGACTGGTGGCGGTGTATTGTTGGCGTCCCTCCGAGAGAAACGAGGAGAGATGACGGGCGGAGTAATTCGCGACTGGATCTCTCATTACAACTGCCCGAATGTCCGCCCGAGTTTCGGCCACGCTGGTAGGGCAGAGCCGCCAACAACCGAATCTGCTCCACCAGGCAAGGGCAATACTTGCCACGACCATTTCTGACAAGAACGGTGCCGTGGCGGTGTAAACGGTCCCCGGCCTTCTTCCTCCTCCTCCTCCTCCTCTTCGTTCCCTGGTTGGTGAAAGCCCCGGCGCGCCACAACAAAAACTGGCTATCTGTCTGCCTGGTCCGTGCCGCCGGGAATCGACTGCGGCACGAGCAGCAGCAACAGTGCAGAGAGGAGGCGGCATTGCGGACGGCTCGGGGGCCTGTGGCATCAGGTTTTAGATCCAAACCATAACATCCGCAAAGGGC